ACTAAAATATTAGCCCTACCCGATTGATCGTTGTCATCCACAGTTCCTGTTGTTCCATCAAATCCCCAGTCATCCTTATCGCTGACCGGCTCTTCCGAGTGCTGTGGCTGCTCTGGCCCTGTCATTCTCTCTTCAACTGGCGACATATCGTCTGCTTGCAGCTGGTGACGATGTACAAATTCTATTTGCGTATCGTCTTTCTCCGTTACAGTTGTTACCGTTTGAGGTGAGGTGCTGGGTTGTATATCCGTCTCTGGTTGGATACTCTTTACAGGCACAGTGTGCGTACTACTACTCGGTTCAGAGACAGTCGCTATAGGCTCTTCCACCTCTTCATCGTCATCTAATGGGACCATCTGCTCAACTGAACTCTCTTTTTCGTGTGTGTTAGTCACACTCTCAGCCACATCTCCATTCACTTGACTTCTCCCGAGGGATTCGGTTGCATCTGCGGTGTCTGGTGACGGGTTGTCTGTAGGCTGCTGCATGTTGTCAGTTGTGTACAATAACACGCCCACACCAATCAGCCCAAGTGTAGGGGGTTTAGGGGTTTAGGGTGATATTCTACACCTTAGAAAGTCACCTACGCAATCTTTGATCCATTGTGGGTGCACCGGTGGAGGACAGTTAGAGGTAGCTTGCTGGAATGAATCAATTGACAGTGTGGCGGTGGTTTGGGTGCATGGTGTAATTGGGTGTGTGTATTAGTATGTACTTGTATGATGAAAGCGTTTCCCACCGGTAGAGCTAATGCAATAGTCACACCATTGCTGTGATACTTCGGCCTATGGTGCTAGTGTGTGTTCACTCTGCGCTCTCAGTGTGGACAGAAGACAATACGCAATCTAGCACTTTATGCTTACTGCACCTACTAACATATTTATATACATATTTATATAATTTCATATATACTCTCGCTTGTACGTATGTGAAATCAAGCGTCAAACCCAAGACGCTAAGGTTGGCTATTTCTACTTCTATGGTATTAATAAACCAAAATTATTCACTCAAAAGGGTAAAAACCATGTTTACATCATCATTCAATCAGTATATGGTTTATACACTGTTGCTAACTTCATAGAGTTAAAGGCGGTCAATTGATGAGTCATATAGTTTGCACGTGTACACTGGACTAAGTAATAAGTTTAAAGAGTTCTAGGGTTTAGCTTTGTCCTCATGCAATAATATATACATATACACACCTATATTTATCTAATATGACTAGAGGAGTGCAGGATCTTCTTGTCGATAAGTATTTAATCAATACGGGGTTAGTGATATATATACACATATATATACACTTTAATACAACTGTATGGTGTATGTATTTGGGTGCACTTCAAAGTTCAATCACGAATGTGAACCATCTACTCGACACCTGAATCAGTGGAACACAGAACACGCATAAAATAGACAGACTTATTGCACGCATACACTTATACACTTACATATACATAATAGCGTATATATTCAGTACAACATATTTATACATACATACATATATATATATATATATATATATATATATAGAAAGGAAACCTATACTCAAATATTCATACACAACACAGCAACATGTCGGGAGCACACGTGCGAAAGGGTGGCATGGGCAAAGTGCATAAAGCCACCAAAGCCGACCCATCATCCACACTGTTTGTGCGAGGCATACCAGCAACATACACCGATGAAAGCTTACAAGAGTTGTTTGGCGATATAGGGCCTATAAAAGAGGCCTTTATTATTGTAGATAAGGAGACGAAACAGAGTAAACGGTTTGCGTTTGTGAAGTTCGCTCTCAAGGAAGATGCCATCACATGTGTAGAGAAGATGAACGGCCATATGGTCAATGGTAAGAAGATCCAGATAACGTATGCGCACAGAGAGGAGAAGGTGGGGAAACCCAAGAAACCCAAGGCAGAGGCTAGTGGCGATGATGCGGAGATGCAAGTGGTGGCAGCGGATGGTACTGTTCAGGAGGATAAGAGTGCACACACAGACTCAGAGATACAGAGTGATGTGCAAACAGAAACAGAGCCCATGCATGTGGATGTGGCTGAAGTGGCTGGGGACGACACAGTACAAACAAGTGACGACAAACCACAGCACACAGACACAGACCAGCACACGGGTAGTAGTACCAAGACACACACCAAGCAAAGTGCAGAGACTGACGAACAGAAGAAGGAGAGGGAAGCCGCCGCACTGAAGGACGGCAGGACAGTGGTGGTACGAAATGTACCCATGGGCACACCCAAGAAAATCATTCGCAGCAAATGCAAGAAGATAGGGGTACGTCATGCACCTTACGGAGGCATAGAGCACGCATAGTGTATATTGTGATGAATCATCCTTGAGCATTGGATGTGTTGATTTTATAGGGCATATATATATATATATATATAAATATACTCATATATATATATATATACATATATATGTATATATATTGATATACATATATATATGTATACATATGTATATATATGTATATATATATATATATATATGCGTGTGTGTGTATATGTGTATGTAAATATATGTATATATATATATATAGGTATGTGTATGTATGTTTGCATGTATGCAATAAATATATATATGTAAGTTCATATATATAGATATATGTATATAGGTATATATATATGCGTAATATATATACATATATATATATGTATATATATATGCAAGTTTATATATACATATATATATATTATAGTATATATATATATATATATATACAAACATACACACATATATAAATTTATATATATTTATATATATATTATTATATTATTGTTATTATTATACTATGCCTTGCTCTAGATTGAGCTCTACAGATTAAGATATGCCTGACTTTTGATTGTACTTGGTTGTGTACTCGTATTTGCACCTCGTCCTACTATACAACACTGGAGACGTCTGGTGTAGTTTGACTTGCATTCAGGGTTTAGGGTTTGCCCACGGGGACGTGATACACTCATTTGAGTGACATATACCTACCTCGGCCTATCCAACGTCTATGATGTCCATGGTCGTTGGTTGTGATGTGTGTACATATCTGGTCAAAGACACCTATCGGACGTGTCTTCTTTAACTCTCTTATAAACGTTGTACGTATAAGACTATGTACGTATAAGACTATGTACGAATAAGACTATGTACGTATAAGACTATATAAGTATAAGACTATGTACGTATAAGCACAGGACGTGTGTGTTCGATTGGCCAGGCTACCGTCTCTTGTAAGCTTTGTACGTATAAGACTATGTACGCATAAGCACAGGACGTGTGTGTTTGATTGGCCAGGCTAACATCTCTTGTAAGCTTTGTACGTATAAGACTATGTGCGTATAAGACTATGCACGC